AAACGGAGTGAAACCTGCTCAAAGTGTCAAAGATCATGAAAGCAAGGATATTCAGAACTTGGTGCGGACCGCACCATCATGTCATGCGGCCGCACCATAGGAGTTCAGAGAGTTGGCATTCTCAGTTCCAGCCAATGCGGCCGCATTACAAGCTCACGCGGTCCGCACCACAAAAGTTCAGAGACCATCACAAGCCACTCATGCGGCCGCACTACAAGCTCACGCGGTCCGCACCATAAAAGTCCAGAGACCATCACAAGCTATTCATGCGGCCGCATTACAAGCTCACGCGGTCCGCGCCAGTCATCATGCGGCCGCGCTCCATCATTGTGCGGTCCGCGTCAACATCTTCAGAAGGCAAGTCTCAGAAGTCAAGCAACCCAGTGCGGCCGCGTGTCAATTTCGTGCGGACCACACGGACCCCGCAGGGGTATTTTTGTCCGGTTTTTCTTAACTTAGTATAAATAGAATATTTGCCATTTTTAGGGGACGAATTAGATACCAGAGAGCTGCTGCACTCGTGAGACAAAAGTTTTAGCCTATTTTGGGCATTTTCATCTTGTTTAACGTGGATTCTTGTAGATTTACCTTCTAGTTAATTAATATGTTCATTTTATCTATTTCTCCTTCAATTTCTGTTGTTATTATGGCTAGCTAAACCCATAAGCTAGGGTTGTGGCTCAACCCTAGTGTGGGTAATTAATGGGTATGATTGTTTAATGCTTGAATGATGTTGGGTGTTTGATATTTGGGTTATTTTGATGTTTTCACTTGGATTAGGTGGTTGCAAACACTAAGTCTAGCTTTGTGGGTCTTGACTCTTCTTGAGAAAGAGTGTCTATGACTCCAAAATTAACCCAACAAGGAATTGAGATGGACCTATGAGAATGGTAGTCCCAATTAACGGGTAAAACCTCGAGAGAGTAATTACCCAACTTGAACCCTAAGTTGCTTGGTTTGTTAGCCTGCCCAATTGGTCTCGAGAGAGTCAATTGGGCAAAATTATTCTTTCTACGAGAGGTGTGAGAGTGAGTGATATCGTGCAACGGTTATATCATAAGCCCCATAATCATCATTCTCGTATTAGGAATCTCTACCCGTTAGTTGACCACCTAGGTAAAAGCCACGACCCTATCGGGTTGCACGCCGCAACAGTGATAATTGTGGATCGGGTTGCACGCCGCAACAGTGATAATTGTGGATCGGGTTGCACGCCGCAACAATGTTGAAATATATAAGGGTCGGGTTGTGCGCTGCAACAGTTAATGATACAAATGTGTTTAGTGTTGGTATTGGTTTCTTGTTCGCCGGAAATTATAATTTGCACCTAGATTGATTACTTTGGATTTATTGTTAATATTGTTATCTCCCCACAGCATGTTTCCCCTCCCATACTGTTAGTTGCCTTGTACTTCGATTTCTGCTATATATTTATAATTGCACGGGTTTATGTGGGGTCTAGTCTAGCCTCGTCACTACTTCGCCGGGGTTAGGCTAGGCACTTACCAGCACATAGGGTCGGTTGTGCTGATGCTACACTCTGTGCATTTTTGCACAGGTCCAGGTATTGGGCAGCAGCAGCAGCATTAGCACGGGGGCGAACCTTCAGTCCAGAGAGACCCGAGGTAGCTTGCAGGCGTCCGCAGGCCTGGCGTCTCCCTTCTATCTTTACATTCGGCCGTCATCTCATTGTACCCGAGATAAACAGATTATGTTTCTTTCAGACTTTGTATGTAGTACTCCTTAGATGTTCGTGAGTATGTGACTCCAGTCCCGGGGTAGAGATATATGTGTTGGAACTTCTGTATTATCGATCTTTTATCTACATTTAAGTCTTCCGTTTATGATTTAATTCGTCGCCTTTATTATGCGGTTAATTGTTAAAAGGGACAGTGTTTTAATTAAAATGGTTAATTAAGTTGGCTTGCCTAGCTCCTATTAGTAGGCGCCATCACGACCCCCGAGGGTGGGGAATCCGGGTCGTGACACTAATTCACATTGATATTGACCTGAAATTGGCTCTTCGTGGTCCCCCATATTGAAATATCTATAATAAAGACACAGAAGAAAACATAGAGGGACCACATGAATAATTTAACAACTTTGACAATAAAATATTGAACATACAATAAATTACTGTATATAATATAGTGGAAAGAATAAAGCACACACTTTAAGAGATAAAGCACATGTTTTGTCGATTTCAAACCACCGTGGAAAGCAAAAAAAAAAAACTATCTTTAAGAAGAAATGCACATGATTCTGTCGATTTCAACAACCCAACCTTTACCACACTATGATAAAAAATGTGAAAAGGACACTTGTAGCAAAAAAACGATGTACACCTAGGGCACAAATTGACACCACATAAGGAAACAACAAAGATAGCAAACAAAAAGAGTACAAGAACCACATGCAAACATTATACAATAGAAGCTAGGATCAGAAATACCAGACAAAACCCTAGAAAATTACAAAAAAAAATTGAAGTTCGAGACAGAGACCCAATAAATAGAAGGGAAAATTACCTGAATATCTTCAGATGATCTTCAATTTGTGTTGTTAAACCTTGCTCGATTTTGTCATCCCCTCACCTTTCAAATCGCCATGGAAGAACAGACATGGAAGAACTTAGGTTTTTGTTTGAAAATGGGGGTCTTCTGCCTTCGCGTTGATATTTGGAATCTGCTTATTTGGAACTGGAGCGGGTTTATGAATGGCCCGCTTATGTGGCTGCCATGTCATGGCTTATGTGGATGCCATGTAGGATACAAAGTGCTGATAGGAATGAGCCGTTAGGTTGAAGGCATTAGTGGCCCATTTTGCTAACGCGGAGGATTTTTTTGCCCCAGTTTACTGACGGAGGACATAACTGATACCATAGTTTAGGGATATTTTTGGACATTTTCCGTATATATATATATATATATATAAATGAAAAGAAGGAAAAAGAAGAAAATGTCTGAGTCCCAAATTTACTGCAGAAAATTCTTGGTCGAACGACGACGTTATTGTAGCCTGAGGCTTTAAACCCTCGATAAACCTTATTAGCTCCAACTCAAAGCCAAAGTTCTCCCAATTTTGAGAGTTTCTTCTCATTTTCAAGACCCCAAAATCCAATGGCGCTGTTTGCCACCAGGCGCGTATTAACTTCCAGCATTTACCGTGCACTCTCTTCATCTTCATCATTATCTCGATTTCATTTTGTTATTCCCCTTCTCTTCAATCCCCACTACTACCCGTCAGAGCAATTCGTTCCAACCCGTCCCAAGTCATCCGGGTCGGGTTACTCGCCTCTAAATGATCCTTCACCGAACTGGAGTAACCGGCCGCCGAAGGAGACGATACTTCTGGATGGATGTGATTATGAGCATTGGCTGATTGTCTTGGAGTTTCCTGACCCTAAACCCTCTGAGGAAGAAATGATTAATGCCTATGTTAAAACCCTTGCTGCCGTTGTCGGAAGGTACTCTGAAAACGACCCTCTTGTTTTTTTTCCTTGTTGATATGCTATGCCTTGATCATTTGTGTTTTTGCAAAGACATAGGAAGTTACTTTGGAAAAGACTCGTTTTTCTAGTTGCTCATTAACATACTATACATGAGTCATAGATTATGGGTTCATGGGAAGTTCCTCCGAGAAAGAAATGGTTCTTTTTGGTTCCTTGTTGACATACAATTCCTGGGTCATGGGTGTTTAACCAATGCATGCAAATATTGAATTCCTCATGACGTGTTGTGACGCTAGAGAGGGAGCTGATGAGGAGGGGTAAAGATAGGCTTATTGGAACCGGGGGGGGGGGGGGGGGACCCTAGGATGTATATGACAAAGAACAAGTTAGTACTCATGCTTTTGGACTCAATCTGACGTAGCCCAAAGATAAAGCTATGAAGTGTGTGCGGACATTATGTGCCATGAACTTTATACCATAACTAATATGGTGTCAAAGTATGATTCCCTTAGTATGATGGTGAGAGTGGGACAATCCTCATTTAGGATGCTGATAAGTTCCTAAGAAGGGGGTGTATAGGCTGCCAATGAGGAAGGGTGAGCCGATGAGGATAGGTGAAAGATTGTCAGGCTTCTGGGCCTCTAGAGAAGGATTTCATGTGACACAGGTGAAAAATCCTAGATTATATATGACATAGAACAAGTTCACCTAGATTATATATGACATAGAACAAGTTCACCTGGCAGAATCGCTTTTGGGCTTGATGTAACTTAGCCCAAGAGACAAATTCATGAAATCTGTTGGGAAAAATCGAACAATATGTCCTATAAAATCTGGGATGTAACACATGTCCACCTGGACACGCCATACATCTTAATGGAGTGGAGTGGACAATGACGATTCATACACTCGATTCCAACTTAATCGGGATTAAGCTATAGTTGATTGATTAGGCACCTAATACATACGCTTGACTGTGTGATCCGGCAAAGAGTTTACACTAAGCTATTACTATTAAACTTAATTTTTGTAAAGGTAGGTAGGTCAAGAAACCTTGATTGTAAAATATTATTGGCTAAATTAAAAGGGAATTAGAAGAGATTCATTTGACGTTTCCCCTCACACTATCTTTATGGAATATTCAAAACTTTCTATCTACTACAAACTCAGAATAAACAAAGACGAGAGAATTCAGAAGACTTGCTTCGATTGAGATGCTTAGAATAAGCAAAATGACTTTCTATTTATGTGTAAGCTAGATATTGAGAAGGCTTTTGATCCACTTAATTGGTCTTACCTTATCTCTATTTTAAGGAAGATGTGATTTGGGGAAAAGTGGATCAAGTGGATCAGATTTAGTATTTCAACAGTGAAATACTCAATTATTGTTAACAGAGGATCTGTGGGATTTTTCTCTCCGCAGAAAGGGATAAGGCAGGGAGATCCACTCTCACATTTCCTTTTCATCCCAGCCATGGAGGGACTGAGCAAAATGTTGGAGAAGGCCGGACAAATGCAATGGATCCAGGGTTTCATTGTTGGTTCAAATGCTGAGAACACTGTCAAAGTATCACATCTACTTATGTCGATGATACTTTGATCTTCTGTGAGGCAGAAAGATCTCAAATGCTATACTTGTATCTGACTCTTTTGCTATTTGAGGCTTTATCAAGGCTACATGTCAACAAGTTGAAAAGCATCATCTATCCGGTAAACAATGTGCTGAACTTAGAGGAGTTGTCTAGTATCATGGGCTGTACTATGGAGCACCTCCTACGACCTACCTAGGTCTCCCATTGGGGGCTAAATTCAAGAGTTGCGAGGTATGGAATGGAGTCATTGAGAAGTTTGAGAAGAGATCAGCATCATGGCAGATGCAATATCTATCAATGGGTGGTACGTTAACCCATATAACTAGTGTGCTCGATAGTATCCCTACATATCACATGTCTTTGTTACCCATCCCCAAAAAGGTGCTAAATCAACTAGACAAGTTCAGGAGGAATTCTTATGGGAGGGGAACAACAACTCTAAATTCTACTTGATAAAGTGGAAAAGGTCATGCAACCAAAATACAAAGGAGGTCTGGGTATCAGAGACTTAACCATCCACAACAAAAGCTTGCTAATGAAATGGTTATGGAGATATGGCACAAGTGATTCAAGCCTCTGGAAGGAGGTAATCAACGCCAAGCATGGGAAGAGAGATCATTGGAGCATTAAAATTGCCATTGCACCTTATGGGGTTGGGCCATGGAAGTACATCGGCAAACTTGGACATGAATTTGTCTAGGATGTTCACTACAAAGCAGGGAATGGAGCACATATCAAATTTTGGAAAGACAAATGGATGAGCAACAACCCACTCATGTTTGAATACCCCACCATTTTCCAGATTGCCCTTGATAAGGATTCCTCCATTGCCCAAAACAGAACTGGCAATATTTGGGATGTGCACCTTAGAAGATCTATACAAGATTGGGAAATGGACAACTTGATGGACATGTTAGCCAGAGTGGAGGTCTTCACCATCGATGAGAATCTACCTGACACTATGAAGTGGGGGAACAAGGGCATCTTTACAGTGAAAGAATGCTATAAGGACATCTGTACTCAGAACCAGGTATTTGACTCAAACCCTTGGCCATGGAGACTAATATGGAAGACCAAACTACCCACCAAGGTTATTTGTTTCAGCTTGATTGCTCTATATGAAGCCCGCTTAACACTGGAAATCTCAATAGAAGAGGCTTTCAACTGGGCAACAGATGCTACATGTGTAAGGAAAGCTCAGAGAATGTCAGTCACCTGCACTTGCATTGCCCAGTTGCCACTGATCTATGGAACATACCTTATATCTTTTCGGCTTGAACTGGGTCTTGCCATCGTATATTAGAGAGGCATACACAAGCTGAAGTCTTTGGGAAGTTGATAAGGCCATCAAGGAGATCTGGTTAATGATTCCTGCAATTATTTTTTGGAGTTTGTGGAATGAAAGGAACCAAAGATGCTTTAATGGAATCTCAACTCCAAATCACACTCCTAAAGCTAATTGTTTGCTCACCCTTTTTAGCTGGGTCAAGTTAACCCCTGTAATTAGCACTGACCACCTTTTGGACTTTTTTAGCTCCTTAGTTATAGTTTAGCACATCCTAAAGGGGCTTACAAACTCTTGTTTTTCTGTAATTTTGTCTTCTGATTTTGTAACTATTGCATCTACTTGATGCCTTTCTAATGAAATACCTTACTTCATAAAAAAAAGGATTTGCCTTTTCTGAAGAATGTCAAATGCCAATTTGGCTCTTTATTTCAAAAAGGTCATGACCTTTCAAGCGCCATGGCCTTTCAGTAATGTCAAATGCCATGGTATTTTCGATAATTAAATGGCCAAATTTAGGCCACTTCTACCTGACAAATAGCTCAAAAATTGTCAACGACCCAAAAGAATTATTTAGAGAAAGTCTTGAAGAAGTTTACGGATGCTGCTAACCTGTAAATACTTCGGTTCATGCACATTTTAAGTTAACAGTGGCTCAGGCATTGTAGTTGGTGGAAGAAAATAGGATAGCACAGGTTCCACATTTTAGTGAGTCGATAATATAGTGTATGCGATGTACACATCGAGTCATTTCTCAAGTAGTAAGTGTAGTGAGCAGTGTATAGCTTATCTTGATAAGGCATATTGGCAAGTTGCGAAATAGATTTTCAAATAACTTGCAAGGTACTACACAATCATGTTTGGATTTTGGGAAGAGTAATGACACTTTGGTTACTTTGGTAGACCCAGTTTATGAGGTGATAGAACAGCGCTTACAGGCTACATTGGAAAGTTATGCCATTATTTGGGAAGCTAGGTCATAATATAGTAGCTTTATCCTAAAGCAAAACACATGGTAGTGACCAAAGGCAATCAAAGAAACCTTGTGGTTGAAGGTTTTGTTTATTGAATGTAGTCTACTTCAAGGTGGCATTACCATCTGCTGTGATAATCAAAGTGTTATTCACTTGATTACTGATTAGATGTATTATGAGAGGGCAAAGTATATTTGTATGAAGTATCATTTCATTCGGGAAATCATTCCTGAAGGAAAGGTCTAAGTTCGGAGTGTCAATACTAGAGACAATTGTTACCACTTACCAGCGTTATCAAAAGCGAAAGCACAAAAATGCTCTAAGGTCCATTGGGCTTTAAGCGAAAAGCGCAGATAAAGCGTGGACTTTAATGAATAAAGGCGAAAAAGGAGAAAAATTACAAATATGCATGTGTAGTCCAAGACTAATAATTATAAGCATGAATAACAAACATATGGATTAAGAAATTAAAAGAAAATTGCGATAAAGCGAAATTTCAATTATTTAGTGTCGCCTCCTCAGGGTTACACTCATTAGCAAGGAAAGGTATTCCTTAGAGCCTTGATGATGACATTGAAGCCCCCTCTTAGCAAGGCGAAGCGCTCAACCTGTTTTGCATCTCTCTCTAGGGCTTAGGCGCACTTTAAGTGCGCCTTTGACAACACTAATTGTTACCATTGTCAAAGAAAATGTCAATACTAGAGACAATACTTGAGACAATCCTACTGAAATATTTATTGAGCTCCTCCCAATTGTTAAGTTCAAGCCCTCTTTGAACTTGATTGGTATTGGTGATTGAATGGGTTGTAGACAAGAATTGGAATGATCTAAGGTTCTGATTTCCCTTAGTGTCGGAATCCTTTCTGCTATGTTTGCTATAAATTTGTCTAAGTCTTCTCTATCGATCATGAGCACTCTGACTGTCGTAACTCTCTCCCGAGTAATTACAACAATATACTATTATCCCGAATTACGCTAGCTAGCTTTAATTACAACTCACTTAGATCGCACCCTAGGTTTCGTTATCCCTAATCCCACCTTTAAACCCTTCGTACTGATCCCTCATATACGTTAGGAGTGGTGTTGTTCAACAACTACCTAAATATGCACTCTCTCCCGAGTAATACATACTAAATAGGCACAGTCAATTGAGGGCCCTTCAATCAATAACAATCACAATATAGTTGAACAAATAGAGAGAATACTATGGCAAATCTATATTAACATAACAAGAAAATCATCCTCCAATAGGTTCCATCAAAACCCTAGATAAGAAGTTTAGCTATGCATCATAATTGTTTTCACAATCATCACAATAGAATTCATCATCAATGATAAAAACAAGAGGAAGAAAGATTAGAACTCTATGCCGAATCTTCAGTCTTGCTTCTTGCCTGTTCTTGCCTTCAAAATCCTTCCAAAAACCAAGATACCCTCTTTTTGGGCGAGCTGAGCTTCATATAGGTCAAGGAGAGTCGCCTCTGAACTTACAAATTTACCCCTGAAATAAAAATCCTCGGAGAGACGTGCGCGGCCGCGGATCAACCACGGATGGACCGCGCATATTGCCTTTCGTTCTGCCTGACAAGCGCGGCCTGTGCGAGGATGCGGATCGACCGCGCACCTGGAGAAGATTTCTGCCTTCAGTTTTCTTTCTTCTTTTGCGCGCGCTCACCTCCGTTTGGCGTTCATTGCTCCATATTAATTCCAAAATACTCTTCAATGTCCTCATAGCCCGGCATTGCTCCTACAAAGCATAAAGTTATTAAGTAGAACAGTTTGTTATCATTTAACATTCAATAATCAATAAAGTGTAGCTAAGTTAGAGCGTCAATGGTAGCTAAATTACATAATTATCGCCTAGTATAAGTGATTGCTAAATCATTTCTGATTAAGATGGAGCAAATACACTATATTAGCCAAATCTAGGCTGATGTGGAAATTTGTCAGACAGAACTGGTCGATATTGGCTATTCAATTTCTAAAAAGGTTACGACGCTTGACATTATTTTCTGACCCTTGTCACTAACTCATTACTAAAGTCACAACCATTGGCATTATTGAAAGGCTATGATCCTTAGCATTATGTAAGGTCATGACTCTTTCGAAATGAATAGTCAATTGGCTCTTCAAAAAAGGCAAAGCATTTGCCCGTAAATAAAAAGCTGTCATGCTCAGTCTATGGTTTGGAGACCGACTCCTGAGTCTAAAGGTTTCAAGTTGAGTAGGACAAAGACAGAATACTCGGAGTGCAAGTTCAGCGACGCGATGGGGGAAACAAATATGGACGTAAGGCTGGGTTCACGAGTCAATCCCGAGAGAGGAAGTTTCAAGTATCTTGGACCAGTTATCCAGGGGAATGGGGAGATCGACGAGGATGTCACACCGTATAGGGCAGAGTGGATGAAATGGAGGTTGGCATCTGGCGTCTTGTGTGACAAGAAGGTGCCACCGGAACTTAAAGGTAAGTTCTACAAAGCGGTGGTTAGATCGATCATGTTGTATGGGGCAGAGTGTTGGCCAGTTAAAAGTTCCCATGTACAAAAGATGAAAGTAGCAGAAATGAGGATGCTGAGATGGATGTACGGGCACACTAGGTTGGACAAGATTAGGAATGAAGATGTTCGGGCGAAGCCGCGAAAGTGGGCGTAGATCTCTTGGAAGACAAAATGCGGGAAGCGAGGCTTAGATGGTTCGGGCACGTGCAGAGAAGAAGCCTAGATGCCCGGTTAGGAGGTGCGAGCAATTGGTCTTGGCGGGTATGAAGAGAGGTAGAGGACGGCCTAAAAAGTATTGGGGAGAGTTGATCAGACTGGAATGGCGCTATTCCAGCTCACTGAGGACATGACCCTTGATAGGAAGGTGCGGAGGTCGAGTACTAAGGTTGGAGGTTAGTAGGTAGTTGAGCATTTTTCTACTCCGTACGGGGTGTAAGATTAGTCTGTTAGTGTTGCCTAAAAAGTATTGGGGAGAGGTGATCAGACTGGAATGGCGCTATTCCAGCTCACTGAGGACATGGCCCTTGATAGGAAGGTGTGGAGGTCGAGTACTAAGGTTGGAGGTTAGTAGGTAGTTGAGCATTTTTCTACTCCGTACGGGGTGTAAGATTAGTCTGTTAGTGTCTTGTTGTCGTGTGCTAGTGATACGTGTTGTGTTCTTACTATTTTTCCGCTTCGGTTTTCTAGCACCTTGCCATTGTTACTGATTAATGGTATTGCTTTTTCCATTTATTTTTCTGATTCTATTTTTATGACCTCTATTGTTGTTACTGTTCTATTGTCTCTTTTTTATCTTCTTGTGCTGAGAGTCTATCGAAAATAGCCTTTCTACCCCACCAGATAGGGTAAAGTCTGGTACACACTACCCTACCCCACTTGTGGGATTATACTGGATTGTTGTTGTTGTTTTGCTCGTTCTATGCATTCCAATCAGAAGCAAGTTCTTTTGGATTATCTCATCTTTTTAAAATTTTAGCTTGTAATAGATAGAAAGTTTTTGTAATCTGTATAGTTACTGTTAGGAAGCACTTTGAGTGAATCTCTTTTGGACCGATCATTGTTGGGGTTTTCTCTATTTCTCTTGGGATATTCTGGGATAATTAGAGTTTTTACTCTATTTTGTACACTTTTGATATAGTGAATTTGCTTTGTTGTTCATGAACATAGGTCAAATTGACCGAACCATGTAATTCCCTTGTCTCTTTATTGTCCTTGTTGTCATTATTAAATGGCTATTTTTGGTAAATTCTACAATATCGTGGCTATTGATCGTTACGGGAATCACATCTTTTAACCTTCAAATGTATTTAGAAACAAAATTAGTTAAAATGTGATACAAGTGGACTAACGATTTGTTTTGCAAATTTGAAGTTTCCAGTGTGCTACTGTGTTGTTTATGGAATGACATTATGCAGTTCACTAAGAGATTGGACGATCGAAATACTGTTGAATTTTCCGGACTTACATGTAGTTAGTTGCTCGAAGAAAAAATTATCCGAATCACATTTTATTCAAGTTTAATTTAATTTATATTGTATGTCTACGAGTTTAGTTTCCAACGCATTAAACCGTTTGTCGATACGACATCGGAGTAGAGATATATTCGCGTTTTCCGGAGACTGCGCAAGCAGCTCTCTATGGGACCCAGGACCCACTTAGGCGGTTGAGATATCTATATATATATATCCGTTTTAACTCATTCTTTTTCACTCTCTACACCCTAGACACCTAAAAACTTTCTCTCAAAGTTCTTTCATGATCCAAGACCCAAACCCAAACCCAAGGGCAAACAACACAAATCAAGTGTCGGGAATTCCGTGGCGCTAGTGAGTTTCTTGTTCTTCTTGTGGTTATTGATTTTGGTGTGGTTTCAGCCCGTGTGGGGAGTTGTTTAAAGTGGTTTAAGTTCTGTAAAATACTCTCCCAACGTGGGGAGTTATTTAAAGTGGTTTAAGTTCTGTAAAATACTCTCCCAAGGTTTTCATATCAACCCTTGGTGATTTCAAGTCTTCCAAAGTGATTCTAGTGCCGAGAAACCCGAATTGATTGCCAGTTTCGCTTCCTTGTTCTTGTGGCTGCGTTGGAGGATATTTCGTGGTGAAGTAAGCTCAAATTGGAGTTGTTCTTTCTGTTTAAAGGCAAGGAACCTCGGTCAAAATTGGCATTGAACTGTAGCAAAAGAGACGATAGCAATTTGTTTGCAAAAGTTGACATTCCAAATTGCTCCTAAGTTGTTCCTAGAGCGACATGATGCAATTCACTAGGGATTGGAGACTCGGGAAACATTATGTTGTATTTATGTATGGCTGTGGCTTACGCGTTATATCTGTCAATATATTTGTTTTTTTTTCCCGTTAATCTGTTCTAGTCTTTTCTGCAGAATTCTTTACAGTTCATAGCTCTGTTTATTTATTCTTTCAACAAATATTTCTTTTCTTTTTTAATATATTGGATCTATTATGAAGTGTGCCTATGTTGCAGAGTAACTATATTGATGCATATATGACCCATTATGTGCTTGAATATACTGTATTAGAATTTTAAAATGAACAGAGCTATTTCACTTCCTTGTCTGGTAAACTTTATTATGATTGTTAGGCATAGGTTCTTTGGTCTATGTAGTGGTATTTCATAGCTGCTTGTTTGATATGCAGTGAGGAAGAAGCAAAAAAGAAGATTTACTCTGTTTGTACAACTACATACACAGGTTTTGGTGCTTTGATTTCTGAAGAGCTTTCCTACAAAGTTAAAGGTACATGGTTTCCTTTGCTGGTCATTTAAGGTGTCTTGTTCGTTCATATGCTTTCCTTGAGTTACTTTCTATCTGAAGTTTTATGCTCTCCATTTTAAAAGCAGCCTTGTCATTGTAGAAGGTTGAGAAATGGTACTTTTCTGTGCTTCCGAGTTTATTTCAGGATAAACTTAAATGGGGATAATCTAGAAGTGCTAAAGTAGCCTTGCAAATTTTGTGCTATGATTACCGAATAAGGAAAGATGAATATTCACATTCCTCCCTTCCACACTAATCCTAGAGTAGGAAAAGACATGCCTTTGGTGTAGTCGTCTATAGTCGTAAGTGCTTACTGGTGTCCTCTTTCTAAAAAAGAATATCAAATTTAGGATTGGCTTTGGACCAGAATGAGGCGGAACGGAAGAAAAAGGATTCATATGGTCAACACAAACTATTTTGGGATCGAACTAAGTCCTTCACGTTGTCGTTAAAGGCTCGGCTAATATGCGCATACGCTTAAGCCTAAATTAGGTACAACACAGGATGAACCCTTTGTCTCATATAGGCAGTGTTTCGGTGCATGGGTCACTGATATAAGTCATGCACCTCATTGCGCATGAGCTCTGTCATTAGAAGGCATCACTAAGCAATTCAATTAGTTGAATTTTTTTTAATTTCTTTGTCCATATAATTGTTGTTTGTGTTTGTAATTATCCTTCTAGTATCACATGTATACTTTACTATTCTCTTTTGTGCTTCACTTCATAAAACCAGTGCACTTTTTACGCATTGCTTAAAGCTCCACTATACCTTTATGTTCTTCCTTTCATTTACGTTGATAACACTGCTAGTTTATTAATTAAACTTCAGGATTGGCTTAAACCTTTTCTATGAAAGTTACTGAGAGGAACCCTTGTTTCATGTAGCTATTAGCCTTTCCTAATGTTGGCATGTATGCGCTTAAGTTTGGTCTCCCTGTTAGTAGTTAGCGGATTTGTGGTTATTCTTGGAATTGTGTTATTTGATTTCAGCCTGATTGGTTTCTTATTATATTACGTAGGTTTACCTGGTGTTTTGTGGGTCTTGCCAGATTCATATCTAGATGTCCCCAACAAGGATTATGGAGGTTTGTATGCTGGAAACTTGCGCTTTTATGCCATGGCGATTCTTCAGTCACTTGTAGCATGTTTATTAAGTAAATCACTTGTTTACTGTTTCCACTCATTGATGTTTAGGGGATCTGTTCGTAGACGGAAAAGTCATCCATAGGCCACAATATAGGTTCAATCAAAACCAAAGTTCTAGACCCAGGCCTCGACCTCGTTATGACAGACGCAGGGAGACAATGCAAGTAGAAAGAAGAGAACCAATACAAAGAGGAGCCTGGACACCCAATCAGCAAGCTCCTCCTGCACAACCAGTCTCAATCGAAGGCCAGAATTTCTCTCATGGAACTGGAGGAGGCCCGGCAGGATCTCAGGGGAATAATGGTTGAAGCTTCTACGCCAATTGTCAAACACTAAAATCTTTAGTAATGGGACTAGGCCTCATAAATTGTTCGTTTCACAAGTTCTGCAGCGTTGTTCCGAACATAGCGTAAGGACATATTTTCCAAATGATTGTAATGTGAATATCTTCCCTGTTCACATGAAGGGCATTAATATAGTAGGAGATGAATCTTCTTGTCTAATTTGGCTTTGGGCAAGTGTTTGCAGATTTAAGTGTTGTAAATCAGTAATTCAAAACAGCATCAATACGGATATCCCTTACTTTTGTGCAGTGGTAACTTGGGTTTTAAGTTCCTAGGGGTGTAGCGTAGTGGTCGTTGAAGTAGGAGGAGAACCATGATGTATGGTTTAATTCCAACGGAGGTAAATAAGTGATTATTTCTCATTTGCCTAAGTTTTGATGGATAAAGTTACTCAATACCTGTGCTGGTAGGGATAATAGGTACCGGATAAAATAATTGAAGGGCGAACACCACCATCATATTTGTGTTATTAGGGGTAGGGGTGGGCATCGGCAGGTTCGGTTCGGTTATGAATATTATCGGTTTTGCCTATCGGTTATCAGTATACAAATATCATAACCCGATAACCAAATCGATAAGATATTTGTTATCGGTTATCGATCATTATCGGTTCGGTTATCGGTTTACTCGATAAGATAAAACAACTAAAACAGTTTTGCAATGTATAAACGGTTTTATAAGATTTTAAGAGTTGTTTTGCTAAAACTCTTTTCAGAACTGTTCTATTTCATAAGAATTTAAATTTACTGCAACATCCAATAAAATAAACACCAACCAAAGTTTCTATCTTTCATTCTTCAACCCAAAAAATACAAACAAAAATTCCAATATCAGTCGGTGACGAAAAAACAGAATATCAGTCATATTTTCACTTCGACACTTTCTACAAATACAAGGGATCTAAATGAATAACAAATACAAGTGCCAGCCACGATGCACATGTTTGTGATGCAATTTTTGTAAATGTTAAAGAAAAAGTGAGAAGTTGAGTCACTACCCTTCGACTACTTTGAAGACTGAACAGCTTCATCAAATAGTTCTGCTAAACATAAAACTAATAGTTCTGCTAACAATAGAACAATAGAACTAAATCTGCAACAATAGAACAGAGTTCAACACTAATAGTTCAACACTTCAAGTAATAGTTCAACACTACAAACAGTCCAAAGTAATAGTTCAAACACATTAATAACAATACAAAATAGTAGCAACCTTAAGATTAACAAGTCCAAAGTCCAAACATAGTACTAATGCGACTGAAGAGTGAAGTGAAAATGCGACTGAAGAATCTGATGGATCTGAGAAATGAAGTGAAGATGCGACTGAAGAGTGAAGGAAAGAAGCTGAGAAATTCGACTGACGCCGGCCTGAGTCTTGACGGGCTGACTGGTGAGGGCGTGAGGCGGAGAAACTGAGAAAGAATAGGGAAATCAAAGAGTGAACTATGAATTATGAAACCCTAGTATGTATATACTTAAGGGTAAACTAGTAATTAGTTAATCCTTATTGGGTTATCGGTTTTACCCAGTAACAGAATTGCCAAACCGAGCCTGAACCCATAACCCAATAAAAAAAAAATTCTAAACCCGTTACCGAACCGTTAACCCAATAACCCAATAAATAATTAACGGTTCGGATTATCGGTTTTACCCGATATATGCCTACCCCTAAGGGAAAATTTCACATAAGAACAACTGAGCTTCCTACTTTTCAATTTTATAACCCATATTTCAATTTACAACCAACTAGCCCAAAAATATAGGCTAAGATTCAACATCCAACTCCAATAGGTTCTCAAAATTACTATTTAATTTTTAAAAAAGATTGCTCAAGCTTTTAAGTTAATTTTCGAATCAGTAACTGTGACTCAAATATTAGTTCAACAAACCAAATCCATTTGGGTGGTGAAAATTAGATTTTTACAAGCTTAAATATGTGGGTTTAAATTTTGAATTTGATTTTGTGAGAAATTTAGAGTGGGTATTATTTAGACTTGTTAGAAATTGTATAAGGAGGTTGTATATAAAATTTGAAGTCATTTAATGGAGATTTGGACTGGTTTTGAACAAGAATTACAACTGAAAATCGTGGAAGAAGTTCGTCTACAGACGCTTGTATAAAGGGGTATAAAGTGTATAATAGTGTATAAGTTGTGTTTATACACTCATATACATTATTATACTAGATTATACATAATTATACAAAAAACTGACGTCGTCTTCTTCCTTGCGTCTTTTCTGAAATTTAACTCAAATCTTGCTTAAATCTACTCCAAATCACTTCAAATTTAAACTTTGAACACCTTTTGATATTTTCAATGAATTGGAACAACACCCAATCCAAATAACTAACAAACTAAAAAAATTCTATTTTTGAAAGCAAAGCTTTGAATGACCTTCAATGGTGGACTTTTACGTACTCTTCGATTTTTTTACATTGCAACCAGATGATATAGAGAAAGAAGCAGTAATGGCGAACGTCAACTTGAATCATGTGTAGAAGATGTGAGAAGAAGAGAGAGTGAAAGCAATGGTTGTGAGAACAAAGATTTAACTCCATAGCTTTTAGAAGCAATGGTTGTAAGAACACAAATTTTAAATTTGCAAGAGTTAGTGTTTTCAAAATATGTACAATATGGGCTAGGTAGGGTAAAACTTAAAAACATGGGCCATTTTTTGTTATGGTGTGAAGTCATGTGTATTTTCTTGTAATTCTTTCTATCCCTAATTAGGGGCAGTCAAGTGCTATATTATCTTGTTTTGGCTAAGCTTATGATAAATTAGACTATTAAGAATATATTTTATAGAAAAAGGTACAAGTAGCTGAAATGTGCGCCACGCACCTCCTCCTCTTGGCTTGTCGAGAGGCATTTCATCTTCTTACTTTTATGATTGAGCAAGAAACATGATATTATTATTTTTTTCCCTCCCATTTTCTCCTTGTCAAGATTTTTGAGTGTGCAAGGTAGTGTCACAGGCATAAAAATCAAGGTACTTAAAAACTTCGTTTGAATATAATATATATTATAATATATATATATATATATATATATTATATATATATATATATATATATATACATACATACATATATATTGTCACGACCCGGATTTTCCACCATCGGGAGTCGTGATGGCGCCTACTAGTGGGAGCTAGGCAAGCCAACTCTTACTTATCTTTCCATTTTTTTCTTCAACTCTTATTTTAAAACATTTAGCAATAATAATATGATTACAGCGGAATAAAATTAATTTAGCGGAAGACTTAGTAAATGTTACTAGATGCGATACAGAAATCCAAATATAATTCACTACCCAAGAACTGGTGTCACAATACTCACGAACTTCTAAGAATACTAACACAACCGTTTGAAAGAAAATATAAAACTGTTTGTCTCGAATACATGAGATAACAGAATGAAAATAAAGATAGAGGAGACGTCGGGTCCTGCGGACGCCTGCAAGGCTACCTCGGTGTCTCGATGGTCGGAATGCGAACACTCACACTACTACTGCTGATGCTGTCTGAAACCTGTATCTGCGCAAAAAGAGCGCAGAGTGTAGAATCAGCACAACCGACCCTATGTGCTGGTAAGTGCCTGGCCTAACCCCGGCGAAGTAGTGACGAGGCTAGACAGGCCTACCAAATCAACTTGTGCAGTTCAATATATATATATATATATATATATATACATAAAAGGAAAGAAATACAGAAACTAAACAGTTAAAAGGGGAGGGAAACATGCTATGGGGGAAGTACAAATCCGGATATAGAAGTCATCAACTTAAGTAAGCAAACAGGGCACCACAATAATTAACAAAGCAGGAAAACAACAGTTGCACGGCATCAACCTTCGTGCTTTTACTCCTCATCCTCACCAAAAGCAATCAATAAAGTGCAGGCATCACCCTTCGTGTTTTTCCTCACATAACTCTCATAACATGGCACGGAATGACCCTTCGTGCAAATATAGTCAAAACATGGCACGGAATGACCCTTCGTGCAAAATATAGTCAAAACATGGCACGGAATGACCTTCGTGCAAATATAAATCAAAACATGGCACGGAATGACCCTTCGTGCAAAATAATCAAAAACATGCACGGAATGACCCTTCGTGCAAATATAATCAAAACATGGCACGGAATGACCCTTCGTGCTTTATCACTCTTCCCACCCAAACAACAATCACAACCAAACGGGGCGAGGGGATAGACAGATAATAAGAAAACGTCCGGCAAGGGAAAAACACAAGTAAACAGCTAATTCCCGGCAAGGGAGCAACAACAATAACCTTCACATTCCGGCAAGGAAGAAAATCAATATACTCAAACCATCCCGGCAAGGGATTAATCATATTTCTTCCCATTTCTTTCATTTCTTATTCAATAGTCTTTTTAATGTTCGAGCCAACGCTCCAAAGACTTTACAATTCACAATCAATCCTCATACTCTTCGCGTTACTTAGGATTTATCAATTAACATGGAAGAGTCATAACAACATCAGAATAAGTACAAACAAGGACCCACGGTCATGCTAGACACCGGTGTATAGATACTCGTCACCATGCCTATACACCGTACTCAACATTTAACAATTAGCAAAACAACACCCTAATCCTATTCCCTCAAGCCAAAGTTAGATCAAACACTTACCTCGAAGGTTTATGGCCAATTCAATCCTCAAGCAACGCTTTTCCTTTCGAATTTGGCTCCAATTCAATCGTATCTATACACAATTGATTTAATATCATCAATAATACTCAACAATCCAATCCAAATGCCTAATATATATTTTCCAACATTCTGCCCAAAATATGCAAAAACTGACCCGGGCCCGCTTGGTCAAAACACGAGGTTCGAACCAAAATAAATTCACCCATTCACCCACGAGCCAAATATATAATTTGTTTCAAGTTCGACCCCAAAACGAGGTCTAAATTCACAAAAATCTTAAAAACCCTAACTCTACCATTTCTCAAATTTTCTACCTATTTTCACAATGTTTAGGCCTAAGAAATTTGATTGATGTTGATGAAAAATGAAGAAGCCGAGTTAAACAATACTTACCCCATGAACTTTGGTGAAGAAATGCTCCAAAGATCGCCCCAAAGCTGTGGAGAAGAGAGAGTTTGAGAAATGAGATTTTTATCCCGTTTCTGTTCGTTTTAGGACTTAAATCACCGGGCAGAAAAATTGTTCATCGCGTTCGCGACACCCGGTCGCGTTCGCGATGAAGGAAAACGGGC